AATGTATAAAAAGGCAAGACCCATCTATATGCTGCTTACAAGAGACTCACCTCAAACTCAAAGACATACACAGAATAAAAGTCAAGGGATGTAAAACAATATTTCATGCAAACAATAGGGAAAAAAAGGCAGGTGTTGCAGTACTTGTATCAGACAAAATAGACTTCAAAATAAAGAAAGTAACAAGAGATAAAGAAGGACACTACATAATGATAAAGAGGTCAGTCCAACAAGAGGATATAACCATTATAAATATATATGCACCCAATACAGGAGCACCAACATATGTGAAACAAATACTAACAGAATTAAAGGAGGAAATAGAATGCAATGCATTCGTTCTAGGAGACTCAACACACCACTCACTCCAAAGGACAGATCCACCAGACAGGAAATAAGAAAGGACACAGAGGCACTGAACAACACACTAGAACAGATGGACCTAACAGACATCTACAAAACTCTACACCCAAAAGCAGCAGGATACACATTCTTCTCAAGTGCACATGGCACAGTTTCCAGAATAGACCAAGACTAGACCATAAAAAGAGCCTCAGTGAATTCAAAAAGACTGAAATTCTACCAACCAACTTCTCAGACCACAAAGGTATAAAACTAGAAATAAATTGTACAAAGAAAAGAAAAAGGCTTACAAACACATGGAGGCTTAACAACATGCTCCTAAATAATCAATGGATCAATGACCAAATTAAATTAGAGATCAAGCAATATATGGAGACAAATGACAACAACAGCACAAAGCCACAACTTCTGTGGAACACAGCAAAGGCAGTTCTAAGTGGAAAATATGTAGCAATCCAGGCCTATTTAGAGAAGGAAGGACAATCCCAAATTAATAGTCTAAAGTCACAATTATTGAAATTGGAAAAACAAGAACAAATGAGGCCCAAAGTCAGCAGAAGGAGGGACATGATAAAGATCAGAGAAGAAATAAATAAAATTGAGAAGAATAAAACAATAGAAAAATCAATGAAACCAAGAGCTGGTTCTTTGAGAAAATAAACAAAATAGACAAGCCTCCAGCCAGACTTATTAAGAGAAAGAGAATCTACACACATCAACAGAATCAGAAACGAGAAAGGAAAAATCACAACAGACCCTACAGAAATACAAAGAATCATTACAGAATACTGGAAAACCTAGAAGAAATGGACAACTTCCTAGAAAAATACAACCTTCCAAGACTGACCAAGGAAGAAACAGAAAATCTAAACAGACCAATTACCAGCAAAGAAATTCAATCAGTAATCAATAAACTACACAAGAACAAAAACCCTGGGCCATATGGATTCACTGCTGACTTTAATCAGACATATAGAGAAGACATAATACCCATTCTCCTTAAAGTTTTCCAAAAAATAGAAGAGGAGGGAATACTTCCAAACTCATTCTATGAAGCCAGCATCACTCTAATACCAAAACCAGGCAAAGACAACACAAAATAAGAAAATTACAGACCAATATTCCTGATGAACATAGATGCAAAAATAATCAACAAAATATTAGCAAACTGAATTCAAAAATACATCAAGAGGATCATACACCATGATCAAGTGGGATTCATCGCAGGGATGCAAGGATGGTACAACATTCGAAAATCCATCAACATCATTCACCACATCAACAAAAAGAAGGACAAAAACCATATCATCACCATAGATGCTGAAAAAGCATTCAACAAAATTCAACATCCATTCATGATAAAAACTCTCAACAAAATGGGAATAGAGGGCAAGTATCTCAACATAATAAAGGCCATACATGACAAACCCACAGCCAACATCATACTTAGCAGCAAGAAGCTGAAAGCTTTTCCTCTAAGATCGGGAACAAGACAGGGATCCCCATCTCCCCACTGTTATTCAACATAGTACGGGAGGTCCTAACCATGGCAATCAGACAAAACAAAGAAATACAAGGCATCCAGATTGGTAAATAAGGAGTCAAACTGTCACTATTTGCAGATGACATGATATTGTACATAAAAAACCCTGAAGACTCCACTCCAAAACTACTAGAACTAATATCTGAATTCAGCAAAGTTGCAGGATACAAAATTAATACACAGAAATCTGTTGCTTTCCTATACACTAATGATGAGCTCGCATAAAGAGAACTCAGGAAAACAATTCCATTCACAATTGCATCAATAAGAATAAAATATCCAGGAATAAACCTAACCAAGGAAGTGAAAGACCTATACCCTGAAAACTACAAGACACCCTTAAGAGAAATTAAAAGGACACTAACAAATGGAAACTCATCTAAAGCTCTTGACTAGGAAAATATAGTATTGTCAAAATGGCCATCCTGCCTAAAGCAATTTACAGATTCAGTGCAATCCCTATCAAACTACCAACAGCATTCTTCAATGAACTGGAACAAATAGTTTTAAAATTCATATGGAACCACAGAAGTCCCTGAATAGCCAAAGCAATCCTGAGAAAGAAGAATAAAGCAGAATAAATAGAATAAAGGTCTTGCTTCCCAACTTCAAGCTCTACAACACAGCCACAGTAATTAAGACAATTTGGTACTGGCACAAGAACAGACCCATAGACCAGTGGAACAGAACAAAGAGTCCAAATATTAACCCAAACATATATGGTCAATTAATATATGATAAAGGAGCCATGGACACACAATGGGGAAACGACAGCCTTTTCAACAGCTGAGGTTGGTAAAACTGGACAGCTACATGTAAGAGAATGAAACTGGATCATTGTCTAACCCCATACACAAAGGTAAATTTGAAATGGATCAAAGACCTGAATGTAAGTCATGAAATCATAAAACTCTTAGAAAAAAACATAGGCAAAAATCTCTTGGACATAAACATGAGCAACTTCTTCATGAACATATCTCCCCAGGCAAGGGAAACAAAAGCAAGAATGAACAAGTGGGACTATATCAAGCTGAAAACCTGTACAGCAAAGGACACCACCAATAGAACAGGAAGGCATCCTACAGTATGGCAGGATATATTTGTAAATGACAGATCGGATAAAGGGGTGACATCCAAAATATATAAAGAGCTCACACACCTCAAGAAACCAAAAGCAAATAATCCAATTAAAAAATAGGCACAGGAGCTGAACAGACAGTTCTCCAAAGTATAAATTCAGATGGCCAACAGACACATGAAAAGATGCTCCACGTTGCTAATCATCACAGAAATGCAAATTAAAACCACAATGGGATATCACCTCACACCAGTAAGGATAGCCAACATCCAAAAGACAAACAACAAATGTTGGCAAGGTTGTGGAGAAAGAGGAACCCTCCTACACTGCTGGTGGGAATGTAAATTAGTTCAACCATTGTGGAAAGCAGTATGGAGGTTCCTCAAAAAACTAAAAATAGAAATACCATTTGACCCAGGAATCCCACCCCTAGGAATTTACCCTAAGAATGCAGCAGCTCAGTTTGAAAAAGACGTATGCACCCCTATGTTTATCGCAACACTATTTACAATAGCCAAGAAATGGAAGCAACCTAAGTGTCCATCAGTAGCTGAATGGATAAAGAAGATGTGGTACATATACACAATGGAATATTATTCAGCCATAAGAAGAAAACAAATCCTACCATTTGCAACAACATGGTTAGAGCTAGAGGGTATTATGCTCAGTGAAATAAGCCAGGCGGAGAGAGACAAGTACCAAATGATTTCACTCATATGTGGAGTATAAGAACAAATAAAAAAACTGAAGGAGCAAAACAGCAGCAGACTCACAGAACCCAAGAATGGACTAACAGTTACCAAAGGGAAAGGGACTGGGGAGGATGGGTGGGAAGGGAGGGATAAGGGGTGGGGGAGAAAGGGCGCATTATGATTAGCATGTATAATGTGGTGGTGGGGCACAGGAAGGGCTATACAACACAGAGAAGACAAGTAGTGATTCTACATCTTACTATGCTGATGGACAGTGACTGTAATGGGGTATGTGGGGGGGGCTTGGTCATGGGGGTAGTCTAGTAAACATAATGTTCCTCATGTAATTGTAGATTAATGATACTAAAATAAAAAAATAAAAATGAAAAATAAAATAAAAAAGCAACTGAACAAACAAAACAAAAAACAGAAAGAGACTCATTGGTACAGGAAATTGTTGGTTACCAGTGTGGGAGGGGTTAGAGGTAGAAGAAACAGGTCAAGGGGATTAAAAGGTACAAACTTCCAATTATAAAATAAATAAGTCATGTGGAGGCAATATAGAGCATAGGAAATAGTCAATAATACTGTAATAACTTCGTATGGTGACAGATTTCTTAATGTAAATAATACCGAATCACTATGATGTACAAGTGAGACGAATATGATATTGTGTCAGCCGTATTTCAATTAAAAATTATTCTTAGTTTTTAAAAAAAGATGAGATGCTCAGAGGCATTGAACCCAAAGTTAAATCTGAAAGGAATGCCGGCAGCCCAAGAAAAATTAACCTGGCTAAGTTCCATTCCAAGACTGCTGAGAACTTGTAAAAATTACTTTATTCTAGGGTGGTACAGTCCTACCCCACGGCCGCAGGATTCACGAGGACTAGAGTAGCACCCCCTGCGGGCACTGTTCCTCTTAACCCGCCGCCCCGCTCGCTCCCCAGGTCCCACGGCAGGGCCGCTGGCAGAGCCCTCCCTGACCCCTGCGCTCGCGGGGATCCGCAGCTGGCCTTCCCCCAGGAACCCCCTTCGCCCCGAAGTTCAGAAAAAGCGGGGCGGAAAACCAGCGGAGGCGGGGCGCGGGGGGGCGGGGCGGCCCGGACGCGGGCATGCGCAGAGACCTGGCGGGCGGCCTCGGGAAGAGCGAGGACGCCGGGCCGGGGGGTGCGGAGAACAGTTCCCCGCACGCCCGCGCACGCCCGGGCTCCCGGCCCACGTCCCGGAGGTTCCTGAGGCCGGTCGGCCTGGAGCGGGGGAGCGGGGGAGCGGGAGAGCGGGAGGGGAGGGCCGCGGGCCGAGGCGGAGCGGGGGCCGCCCACCTGATAGCGGCCGGTGAGTAGCTGGCTCCGCGACGGCGTGCACAGCGGCTGCGTGTAGTAGTTGTCCAGCCGCACCCCGCCGGCCGCCAGCGCGTCCAGGTGCGGCGTGCGGATGTTCGAGCCGTGGAAGCCCACGTCGTTCCACCCCAGGTCGTCCGCCAGCACGAAGACGATGTGGGGCGGCCGGCCGGCCCCGGCGCCCGGCGGCGACAGGAGCAGAAGCAGCGGGAGGACGGCAGGGAGGAGCGGGCGCCGCGGGCCGCGGCCCCGGGGCAGGCTCGCTGCGCAGCGTGGACCCATCCTTCGCGCCGGCCCCGCGTCTGTGGCGCCGCTAGCCGCGGGCCCCGTTTATAGAAGCAGGAACTGGGCGGCCGGGGCCTGCCCCGCCCCGCCACGGGATCACCGCGGCGGGCGGCGGGCTGGAGAGGCCGCGCGCCCGACCCCCGCCGCCGCTGCCGCCGCCGCCCCGGCCTGGGCGCTGTGGGCGGGAAGGGGCCCGCGAGGAGGAACTGCGGCCCAGCCGCACTGAAGCTCAGTTGAAGCTTGATAGGACCGAAAGTCTTCTATCTGACCAGCGCCGAACTCTGCATCGTGGCACCCGAAAAGGGGAGCAGATTTTTTTCTTTTTAATAACTTCACAGTTTATAAAGCATTTTCTTTAAATCTCGCGTAACCCCGGCAGCTAGGAATTATATAATCAATGTCTTTCTTTTTCAGAAGAAAGAAGCTTGTGTTTGTTTGAGCCTACGCCAGCCACGACTCCAGATGGTGAGCTGTGATGTTTTAAAGGCCCTGGGAGAGTCATTTGTAGCAGAATTACTTCTCAAAAGAACCCGGCCTCGTGCAAGTGGGAGGATGATGGGGCACTGGTCTGATGAAGTTTCAGATTCATTTCTGCACTTTAGGCCTGTGAAGACACTTCCTACCCCTAGAGAAAGGGGGGCCAGATACACACTCTGCCTGCAAGGTGCCCTTTTGAACTTTTTACGTTTTTTACTTACGCTTCCCTGGATGTTTTTTGGGGTGTTGTATGGCTGTTGAGTAGTTCATTAGCCTGTCCAAGTATGAGCCCTTTCAGAGCTGGCTCCCCGACAATGAACTAGGGAACCAAAGAAGTATAGTATCTAATTTGCCTGAAATAATCTGTGGATGGAAGGAAAAACTCCCTTATTCGCATGCTCACTGAATTGGGAAGTTACCCTTATGCCCAGCATATTCCCATTGCCATCCAAACCTGTTCTGTGTCTGGAGGGCGACAATAACTGTCAACAGTTGTCAGGTAAAATGTCATGCAGGGCGTCCTTTCAAGTTATCTCAGTGATTCCAATGGATTTCTTTTGCAACTTTGTAAGTTGTAGATAACTGATAGCAATGAAAACCAATTCTTGTTTATACATATGTAAATGAATTCTATCCAGTGGAGTGCCACACACCCCACCACCACCACCTACGAGGGAAAAAAACTGTTTGGCTCTACTGGCTCATTTATTTTAATATTCCTGATTTGTTCACTGAATTGTCCTGTGAACTGATTTTAACAGCTTACCAGATTTCTCATTAATGAGTTAAGTAAAATCTTTAATACGTATTCATTTTTATATCTGAATAAAGATCATGATTTTATCTTTTTTTGAATATTATCCCTTTAACATATGGAATGTTTTCCCTTTTACATACATATTTTTATTCTTTGCACGAAGTAAATTAGTTTGTTACATCTTTTCATCTCTGGTGGAATCAATGAAGTTTAGCAGGAAAAAAATTAATTTAGCATTAAATTAAATAGAATAATTTTGAAGAGCTGTTTGACAGTCCTGTTAAGGCTTGAAATTTTCATTTAGAGACCCTGTAAGAGACCTTAAAGCCCTGCAAATTGTCCACTGTGGCCCTTGCACATTCTTGTCCACCACAACTATTGCTCCCTACCCTTCCTGATAGAAATCAAATTGCCCAAACAATGGGTGCTTATCTGCAGAAACAATTCCTCCTTCACCAACTGCTCCAGGAACTAGTTAAACTTGCACTGAGACTTCTCCTGTCCTATATTTTCAAATAAAACTTTAGTCTAGTAATGCTATGGAAATGTGCAAATGAGTTTATTAAAAAGTTAATTCTGTTTTTCATTAATATATTGAACACTTAAAATATGCAATCCAGGCTAGTTATTGTAAAATCTTTCAATTGAAGTTTGATACTTCTAATGGTTAGACTCAGGTTATGGGCTTGTGCAGAAAATTCACAAAAGGGATGATGTATCCTCAATGCCTTGTGAATTTGACTTGCCTTATTATTTGATCACAGTTTCTCCACTATAAAGTTATAATTTTACCCTTGGAATTAATAATTATTTTATGAGGAGATACTTTGAGAATATATATATATATATATATAGTTATTCTTAAAACTTTTGCTAATTAATTTCAGTATTCACTGATGCTTCATGCTTCAGTCATTATTAGGATGATTACCAAACAGTGATTTTCTAATTCCATCATTCCTTGTATATTTATTAGTTTTCTTTCTACTGTAAGGGGAATTTGCCTACTAACCCATTTATTTGCTTATATCTGTGAATTCATGGATTCTTGTTTTAATCAAATGCTGTAATACTTTACTTATTTCAGTGCTCAAACTTCCTCTGATTTGGCCAATGGGAGCCCCTTTAGTCTGGCACTTGTATCATTTTGGCATGTTCTCTTTAATCTTTGAGCACTCCCTTACTTTTTGGTACAATGAAATATTCTAGTTTTGTATTATCCTTTTCCTTCCCAAATGTGGAATCAGTCATTTCTCCAAGATACCCTGTTGCCTTTTAATGGAGAACAGCATCTGGAAACCAAGAGCTGTGCTAAAGGTGTGCTCTTTGCGAGTGGGCTATCATTGTTTCTAGGATCTCTCACCAAAAGTAGGAACTAGATATACACACATACATAATATACATTTACACAACTATATACTATATTGATTCATGTGTTTGGCTATAAAGCCATGAGTTCAGAATGACTACTTCCAATTCTATTTTCCCCCCTTCCATAAGATTATGGGTAGTACCACTTGTCACTACCACCAGCCTTAAAAAGTACTGTAGTTTTTAATTCTTGCCAATCTTACATGAAAAATGGTATCTCAGGATAGTGTTTGTTTTTGTTTTTGCATTTCTCTTATGAGTAAGTTAAAAGTTGTTTCTTATTTTGAAGGGCCACTTTTACAACATTTTTGTGAATTTGAATTGTCTGTCATTCTCAATTGGGATTTTGGTCTTTTCCCCTCAATTTTAAGAGTTCTTTATATATCAGAGATGTTACCTCTTTAACTGTGTGTGTCACAGATATTTTCTCCCACCTTGTCAATTGTCAAATATTTTGTTATGGTGTCCTTTGACATGCCAAATTTATTTATTTTTATTACTTGTGGACATCAGGGCTACTGATTTCTGCATGGTAATTTATATTCTGCCAAATATGGAGGGTTTTTTTAAATGTCAAATTCATCAGTATTTTCTTGTATCTGGATTTTGAGTCATAGACTTTCCTTATACCAAAGTTATACCATGTTTCCTTCTGTTATTTGTATGGCTTCAGTTTTCACATTTAGATCTCTTATTCATTAGCAATTATTTTTGCATATTATGTGAGATATGATTTCATCTTTTTCCAAATGGTTACCAGGAATCCCAGCACCACTCACAATGACATTAAAGAAGTCCATTTTTTCCCCAGTGATATGAGATGCCACCTTTATCTTATTTACTTAGGTGTATTTCTGGGCTTTCTGTTCTTTCCCACTGGGTCTATGTGTTGACTCCTGCACTAGTACCATACAGTTCAGTTACATAGGCTTTCCAATATGTTTTAATATATGATAGGGATAGTGACTCCTCATAGCTTTTGATTCCTAATGTTTTCCTGGATATTCCTGCATGTTTATTTTGTCATAATAACTTTTAATATCAACATGTCCAGCCCCATAAAATTTTATTGGTATTTTTATTGGGATTGCATTAAAATTTACAAATTAATTTAGGTATAACTGAAATATTTATGATAATAAGTTGACCTATCTAAAGACAAAGGTTATCTTCCTTTTATTAAGGTCTACTTTTGTGCCTTTTAGAAGTATTTAAAATTTTTCCTCGTATCACTTTTGTGATTTTCTTGTTAAATTTATTCCTAAGTATTTTATCTTCTCTGTTACTATTGAAATGGGTTTTTTCCTACCATTATACCTTTTAACTGGTTATTATTTGTGGACATGAAAGTTACTGATTCCTGTATGATAATTTATACTCTGCCAAATATGGAATTATTTTATTGTTTGAGTTAGTTTAATCATTAATTTTTTTAAGGGTTTTCCCAGTATATAATATTAATAAAAGCCATTCCAATCAGAAGATGCAAAAATTGGGACTGAAATAAAGGCTACTCCAAACTCACAAATGGGTATAAAAATTGTTAGGTGGGATGCTTGGAACTCGAGGTATACTTTTTACATATAAAAGATACTATGCATAATTACCTGGTTGCATTCTAATCCACACAAATCCTATTTAGCCTGTAGTTAAAATTTAGGAATAAGGAAAAGACCGATGATCCATAGAGGAACATAATTGTTTACAGAAAAGGAAATGTAAATGGTTATTAAATATATGAATAGATGTTCAGTATCACTCAAAAAGAGAAATACCAATTGAAGCCTCAGTAATCTACCACAAATAGCAGTGATAATTCACTACTTTGGGTGTATAAAGAAATAAGCCCTCTGATAACATCAATCACAGAAGTGAAATTTGTATAATCTCTGAGGGGATCAGTTCTGCATATCTGTTAAAACACATGTATACTTTAACCCTACAATTCCAGTTGTAGGGATGTATCCTTCAGATACACTCAATGTGGGAAATATCATATGCATGAAGATATTCATTTTCACCTTACTTTTATCAGAAAAAGGCAAATAATAGGGCCCGCTCAAATTAATTATAGGCTACTCAGTAATCATTTAAAAAGGCGACAGGGAATTGCAGACGGACAGGATAGTGACTAACTTTCACCATATCCTTTATGCCTACTAAATTTTAAACCCTATGCATATATTATCTATTTCTAACAATATTATTGTTAATAGTAATAACAATTTACATTTAGACAGAAAGTAAAATGCATCGTAAGTGAGAACAGAGTGTCAAAAATAAATACCCCAATGACTATGTGTATGAAGCCCAAAGGCTATGCACTAAGATAATCATGTAGATGCTTTTGTCATGCCTTTTGATTCTCTGGTTTACAGGCCCCCTGGTTCTTGGCATGGTACTAACTGGCTATAAGCTCTGTTCAGAAGTCAGGATAACTATTTCAATGATTCTCTCAACTATTTTGTTTCTGTGTCATTGAATATGATAAATACTGCTTACAAAGTCTAAGCAATTTTAAATACCTTATCTCTAAATGTTTAATGGTTAGGGTAGAGATAAGAATGGCACAAGGTCTTTCTTCAGAGAGAAAACCTTAAGTTCACTAACTAAATGTGGTAAATTGTGG